GGGGCTCGGGGAGTGGGGCGCCGAATCGCAGAGACAGCCCGGGTCTCCCCGCAGCACCCAGGAGACAGGAGGGGTTTGGCCAGCCACAGGTGGTCCGTCTGTCCTGCCGGCGAAGGGCGGCGCACGCTCTGGCTGCCAACCGGCGCGGAGCCGGCGGGTGAGGGGGAACTGAGCGCCATTTCGGGCTGAGCCGAGACACTGAGGAGGTGCAGGACCTGGAGCCTGGGGGTGGGCCTTAGGGGTGTTGCTGTGCGCCCCCTCTGTCCTGTCATCCCTCCCCGACCAGAGGAGCAGGCAGGAAAATGTCAGCTGGGCTTTGTGCTCGGTGCCTCGGGCTGCCGCAGCTCCCATCTGTTGGAACCAACGCAGCTTCTAATTGGGCGACGGGCAGGGTCGGGAGGGGGTGGGGTGGGGTGGGGTGGGGTGGGGTAGGGTGGGCGCAGCGCTGCGGGAGATGGACAGGTTGGGCCCTCACTCGAAGACCCCAGGAGGTGGGCAGTAGACAGAACAGCCGCCCCAGGCCAGGGGAGAAGTGGCTTCCTGCCAGCTTGGTCACCATCGTTGGGGAGATCTGGGTCTTTGCATGCACCTGGCAGCCAGCACGCTCCCGTTTCCCCACCAGCCTGGGATGGGCTCTGGCCCAGTGTCCTCTCCTGAATGAGAAGGCCAGGATCCCCTCCCACTGCCCACTGCTCCTTAAAGGTCCTTCCAACAAAGATCCCTGGGCATAGGGTGGGCAGCGCTGTGCACAGGGCACTGAGGCCCACTTGCCTGTGGACCCTGTTGTTAGTAGAAGAAAGTCACATGTGGATGGCCTGACCCACTTTCCTGGCAGGCCAGGTGCCCTTGTGGGGAAAAGATGGAGAGAAAAAGGCACAGCTAGGGGCCTGAGTCTTCTAGGCCCTCTTCCTTCCTCGGTGCTGGCTGGCACCGAGTCTCCTTCCTGCCTCGGGGTCCCTCTGGACCTGGGATGGGACCTCATTTTTTGCAAAGGATGGAACTAAAGGCCTTACTGCTTCAGGGACTGAGAACTGCCCAGGGTCTGGAAGACCCCTGGTGAATGGGAGCTGCCCGCAAACCCACTCTCCCTCAGGCACCGGCTTGGCCCGAAGGAGGCACTGGGCAGCAGTGGGAACGCAGAGGTCTGCTGATGAATTCCACCCAGGCTGGGAGAGCAGGCTTCCTGTCACTCACCAGTGCCTCCGCCTACCCCCATTCCTTCTCCCGGGTCTCCCTCTCCTCTGTGCCCTGCTCTCTTCTTGACTCTTTAGTCTCCTCCTCAAGCATCTCTCTGGCCCCCTCTCCTTGTACCCCCTCCCTCTCTGAGACCCCTCCCTCTCTCCCTTCTCCTCCTGGCGTCTGTCCCCACCTTTGTCCCCTTCCCTTATGTAAACCGCAGCTTAAGCCACAAGCCGGGCATGTGTGCTGGGTTCCAAACATCCCAATGATAGGAACGCGCGCTCTGTGGGGTTTGCTGTGTCTGCTTTACGAAGGAAGGGCCCGGGTGGGTGCCTGGCAGCTGCAGTTACCAGGCATAACTCCTGCACCCTGCCATGTGCCTCTCCTACCCACCCAGGATTTTTATTTGTAAGGAAAAAAAAAATTACTGAACAATTTATTGAACACCTACTATGTATTTTAGTTGCTGAGGAGACAGCAATGAAACTTCCATGTCTCAGTGCAAAACTGAACTAGTATCTGGACTTGCCACTGATTAGTCCTGTGCCCACTAGGCTCTTTCAAAGACCCACTGCTTAGGAGTGGAGGATGGGGGAGGAGTGTAAATCCTAGAGAATTGTCATTATTACATTGTGTGACCTCTGACAGGCAGGCCTGTTTCCTCACTATATACCAGGCACCGCAAAGCTTACAGACCCAGGGTCATCCTGTCCTTAAGGTATTTCTGGCCTGAAGGATGGACCAGTTCATATCTCACCATTTTTCCAGGAGAGCTGAGTAGAAGGCCAATGCTTTAGAGAAAGGAGAAAGAAACAAATTCATTATTTAGTACCTACTAAGCACCAGTCCACCCAGAGCTTTGCACAAATTATCTCCCTCAATCTTAACAAACTTCTAAGGTCTGGATTATCATCCCCTGCTTTATAGCTCAGGGAATTGAGAACCAGAGAAGATAAACCACTTGCCCCATCACATAGGTCTCTGTTTTGGAGTCACTGATTCTCTACAGTTCATGTGGGCTCTATGATATCTGTGATATCTGGTAACTTGTACAGTCATCTGAACATTACCTTTTTTGAAATTGATTAGTTTTTTATTAAGGTATCATCAATATAGACCTTAAGGAGGTTTCACAGGAAAAACAATGTGGTTAGTACATTCACCCATATTATCAAATCCCCCCCATTCCCCATTGCAGTCACTGTCCATCAGTGTAGTAAGATGCCACAGTCGCTACTTGTCTTCTCTGCACTACAGTGTCTTCCCCGTGACCCCACACATACCACGTGTGCCAATCAGAATACCCCTCCACCCCCCTCCCTCACCCTTTCCCTTTGGTAACTGCTAGTCTCTTCTTGGAGTCTGAGTCTGCTGCTGTTTTTGAACATTACCTTTTAACTGAATTTTTCAGGAGCATGCTGTATCTTCTCAGAATATTAAAATGTACAAGGATTTGTTGAATGGGTGCATAAACAGCTTTCTCAAGTGATTAGGGAAGGCCTCCTGGAGGACTTAGGACTCTGGGAAAGGAGGCAGGGAGGACAGTGGATTTTCCTGATCCTGCCCAGATCGGTGACAACCACCCCCACCTCCACCAGCACCCCCAACCCTGCATCCAGGTAGAGTTGATGGGAAATTACTGTTTTCATTCAAAGTCCGGGTGTGGGAGCTTGGTGCGTGGCTATTCTAATGAGTCAGTGTCACTGGTGTTCTCGGTTTTAGACAAGCCTGGACTCTATGAGAGTCCCAAGGCCAAGGATGGGGTGGGTGGCTTTCAAGCCTGCAGGAACTACAAGGACAGGGACTGTGGACAGAGGCTAGATGGGGCAGGAAAGGGGGAGAGTGACCTAGGATCAGAAGAGGGGAGGACAAAAGGCAGAGAGGAACAGAAAAACAGAAGGTAAGAGACAGGAAAGAGAAGGCACAACCAGCCAGGACCAACATTCCCGAGCGAGGGTGAGAAGGCTGCCTTCACCTGCTGCTTCCCTGAGAGCCTTGGTCTCCGTCCTGCAGCCCAGAGGCTGGGGTGTCCACCATGGTGGCCTCAGCAGGCACCTGCTTGTGCAAGCAGCCCGTCTCTAGTAATGCCTACTGTGTGCTCAGTCTTGCGCTCGGTGCTAAGCAAGTCAGATGTTGCCCCTGCCTTCAAGATGTTCACAGTAGGAGTATAGATTCTGGAGCCAGCCAGCTGGTGTCCGAATCCAGGCTTCACCACTTCTAGCTTTGAGCAGGTCATCTAATCTTCTGTGCCTCGGTTCCCTTATGTGTAAATGGGATAATAATAGCACCTACTTCATAAATTGTGACGATTAAGTGAGTTAATATGTGTAAGGAGCTTAGCACGGTGCCTAGCATAGTAATGCCATGTGAGTTTTGTTCTGTTATTAAATGGGGGCATCAGTCAGTCTTAGAGTACAAAACAAGTGCTATAATATGGGGATGAGCAGATAAAGAGGTGACTGTCTCTGCCTGCAGATTAGGAAATGGTCTCAGAGGACATGGTATTTGGGGCAAGGCTTGAAATCAGCCAGGCAGAGGTGGTAGGCCTGGGGCCTCTGGTGCAGAGGGTGTCTGGGGCACTTGAAGTGGGCATCAAAAGCTGCTGTGCTGTGTGTGGCCTTCTGTGGATATCAGGAACACCTTGGACACATCCTGCCTCAGCCTGTTTCCAGGGCTCAGAGCTGAGCGTCCAGTGGTGCTGGCAGGGTGCCCAGAACGTCCCCACATTCTCTAGCCTAGGACAATTGGCCTTTGGGCAGGGCCCCTAGTGTGTCCCTGTAGGGACTGGTCTCATGACCATGGCCTCCCGGGTGTTCTAAGCCAACCTCCAGCCGTCTCTACTCCAAACCCAGAGGTGCCGCAGCCCTTGTCCTCTCACTTCTTGCACTTTTTGGGGACCAGGAGACGCCTGGGCCTGAGAGGGCTGCGTTGTAGGAGGCAGGCTGGAACAGCTTCGGTTTACAAGTGAGTTTCGCTCTGTGCATTTCTTCCACCCACACCTTCCCTGCTGCTCAGCATCTGAAGGACTTGCAGTGAGTTTCCCAAGCTGAAGAGCAGGCAGAGGGTTCCTGGGGCAGTAACTGTTTCTCAGCCGGCACCTCACATGGAAATGGCACTAATGACAGAAGCTGGTATTTATCGAGCACTTCGTATGTGCCAGGCAGTGTGCCAAGGGCTTTACCTACATTACATTAAATC